CAGGTCCACAGTCACAGCCATTTTCTCCAGACTCTAGAAGAAACTGCTAAAAGCAAAGTAGGAAAAGCTTTGAGGACCTTGCTTCCTTCAAAATACTCACCTCAGCTGAGGAATCTGTCTGATGATTGCTGTGTCCGTGCGTAATCCCAAGAATGCCAAAAGGATTACTCAGAGTTTTTAGATGTCAATTATCTGTTGCTCCAAAATATGCCCATTTCTATCTGCAGATAGATGTCTGCAAGTTTGTGGTCTAGTCTACTCTGATAAATTTACTCATGATTCCCATGCATTTTTGACACTCAGGCTTCATTACTGTCATTCGTTATAACTGAAAGAGTTTCAGCTGATTTGTTCTGTGGCAATCTTTTGGCTGAGCCGCATAAGTTGTTGAGAAAAATTCCCCCCAGTCCATTTTCACTCATTAGTCTTCACTGGATATGGAAGTCTAATGAAAGAGGCATCATCTCCCTATAAAAAATAGTGCTGTCTGCTTAGTTACACAGCCTGCCTGCTAAATAGAAGGGGGTAGCAATGAAGTGTCACATATCAAAGACTACAAGAAAGAACTGGAATGGTGATAGACAGAACTAATGCATTCTTAATGAGAAGAAGCTCTTCTATTACTTTGATGGGATGCACGGAAAGAAGTACCGCATGCTCAGAAACAGTGAAACTCAGAAAGTCATTGTTAATGGTATTGGAGAAAGAAGGAGGTAACTGGCAGAAGTCTTATAAAATCCTGCTTGTAAAATGCAAAAATTGTGTTAGCACGGTCCTTTGATTAAAATTTAAATTCAAAGGTGAGAGATATGAGTGCTCTGATCCTTACACAACTAAAAGCTTTTGGGGCTGGATGAATTTTGGGCATACAGCACAAGCCTTGCAATCAATATCTAGTCCACTGATCATTTCCAACATCCTATAATAAATTTAGGATAATAAGAAAATGCAAAACCCCACACTTTTAATGCACCAGAGGTAACTGAAAGGAGTGTTATCAATGGCTTGGGTGCCCTCAATAGCAGAAGATTTCTTAAAGGCAGCTCCCAGACATTTTGAGAAAGTGGCCTTGCCCATGCTCTGCAGTAGAGGAGGAGGAGTAATAAAAGAGTAATACATGTCTGGAAGTACGTCCTGATTCCACATCCAACAATAGTTTTAACATCAGTCAGATGGGCAAGACACATGTATGAGGCATACTCAAGGAATGTCAGTCTTCTAGGAACATCACTGTACATCATCCAACAGTCTGTATCTAGCTCTGACCAAATTCCAGTGCTTCAGCAGAAAGAGGTAAAAAATCAGACAAGAAACCAGTTGTTACTTTCTACTCTGAGTGCAAAAAAAAGTCCTCCTCAGCCTCAAAGAGTGACCAGTGGGAACCCAAAAGCATGGATTTAATGCAGTGTAAAGAAAGTGCCAAACAGACTCACTTTTCAAACTTCATTGATGCTACCAGCTCAGTATATGCTCAAGAACTCACAAAGCAATCTTAATTTTCTATATCTAAAGAGCACTATGCTCATGTTCTATGATCTGTTTGATCAGCATTTAAAGCTCAATCTTAAAATAATGCTGGTTCTTTGTAGGAATTTGGAAGATCCCTTCTGAACTTCACTTTTTGGATAGTTGTAAATCTTCTAAATTTGAGATTATGATTACTCATGACCCAGTTTACAGACTGTGATCATGTGCTGACACTACCATTTTCTTCCTTCTCTGTTATTTACATTCTGTATGAGAAAGAATCATCAGATTCCTCAGCCACTGTGTTGCTAAGCAAAACAAGTGAAACTTTTTAAATTTATCTTTGTATGACAGATACTCATTGCTCTAAACATCCAAACAAGTTTTCTCAGCATCAGTTCTGATTTTATCTCATCTTTATTTAACACAGATGACGAGTGCTTTACACAGAATTCCAGAAGAGGTCCTCTCTAATGGTGCTAACACTTCTGCAGCTCTGCTATAAATATTTTGCCACATCCATACGCTCTTTTCACAAAGCCACCTTCCTGGCTTTTATACTTGCAGTTTCCAGTCTTCAGCATTTCCAGTTAATCAGTTCCATGTTTACACCCAAAATTATGCATTGTTTTAAAGCGGCTGGGGGGGACGACTGCTAAGTTTTATCCTATCCATATTACCTGTGGCAACAAAGTTGTCTTACTATTTTCAAGTGACGAGTGAGTCCTTCTTGACAATATTAAAACCTCCTAAGTTTGTGTTACCCATGTATTTTATGAGTGCACACCTAATTCTTGCTCTTAGGACACTAATAAACATATTGATGGTTCCTAAAACTAATGCCTGAAAAAACACAACTAGCAACTTTCCTCCTCTCAAATAACATCACTTGTAATATACCCTATTGCTATCTCTATGTATCCAGCTTCTTATCCAACTTAAGAATTTTTATACTAATTTGCATCATTTCCACTTAAAGTATGTGTTTCCTATAAGGACTCGCAATAAGCATTTTATATAATATCTAAATATACTAGACTGACACATTATCCTGTTCTAACAAAATGAAAACTCTAAACAGTCTCCAAAAGTAATGATTTTAACCACAGATAATCCCATTTTAATTTCTCCCATTTTTAATTTTCATACATGTTTTAATCACTCATTTCAAATCTGTTCTAAATGTGCATCGTACTGAATGTACAGCCATGAAATCACTTGACATACTTTTCCCCCATCTTCTTGGGCATATTTGGCCAATCTGTCATTGCATACTTCTGTCATCTGGTACTATCTCCAAATGATACATATGTAAAATCTTTTCTACTTGTGCTTCCATCTTTGAGTGCCTTCAGTACTCTAGAATGAATATGGACCCAAGAATTTTGTCACAGGAAGCTACATATAGTTGACTTCCCTTTCAAATTATGTAATTCCCATTGATTTATCATCATTCTCCTTAGCTATCCTTTCAATATATTCATGTACATCAACTTCCTTGAAATTGAGGAAAAGCATTTATTAACCAACAGGTAAGCTATACATCAAGAATAATGTAGGCATGCCCAACTTATCCTTCAGGTCACTGCCATGGCCTCACTTCATCACTTTATTGTTCTAGTAGCTAAAAAAAATGTGGCTTTGTTTTACTTTTCTGTGCAAGGTACAGTTCAACAAGGCCCTTTTCCATCATTCCTTTGCTTCTGTATTTTATAATGCCTTAAAAAAAAGTTCTTCTTGATAATCAAGGCATCTTCTCACTCTTTGGGGGTTTTGTACCTATTCTTAGTATCTTGCTTTGGTTAGTTATTCATTCAGAGACTCTAGCCCATTCCTACAATTTCTCCCTTCTGCCCAGCACTCATAGATTATTTACATTCTTAATGTAAATACATCCTTTCCTGCATTCAAATCATTAAGTTCCTTAGGCCAGTCATCTTCATTCACTGATTCTTCTATTTTCTAAAAGCTTGCCATTCTAAAATACCAAGCGTTAGTTATAGATTTATTTTTGTCCATCTTGCAATTTAAGAAGAACCGAATCCATTCATAATCATTTCCTCCTAGAACATTAGTTTTTGGTCAGCTGTTCTGCAAGATCCTCTTCACACAAAAAACCTAAGCTTAAAATAGGACACACTTTGTTGTTTTATGAATTTCTGTACCAAAAAGTCAGTCTTCTAAAACATCTAAGAATATCTAAACCTTGCTATTATTGATGGTATTTATGTCTATGTCTGGAAAATTTAAGTCGCCTATGCTCATACAATTTCCCTTATTATTTATTTCTTTATCTATTTATAGAGATGATGACCCTCTTCCAAATCTCAGCCTGTCAGACCATAATATCCTCCTCTCCCCAAACACTGTCCAACGTGGGCCTCTTTTACCATCTTCCTTGCAGTGATTTTCATCCTAACAGATTATGTTTTATTCATGCCATCACATTTTAAGATGAATAAACACAATTTGGCTGTTTGCTACAACTTCAAATTTCCTGACTTTTATGTATTTTAAGTTGCATCCACATAGGTCTGTATATAAAATTTCCTTGTTTTCTTTTTAGATTGAAGAAACCCCAAGGCAAAACAGCATAAGCTTCCCCACCCTTTCACAAAGTGATTATAAATGTACCTATTCATATTAGATTAACTTAACAGCATTTGGTTTGGCTTGGGTTTTATTTAGCAATATACACTAGTTATGAATAGTTCTTTTCTATACCAATAATGCTTTCTCGTAGTCACTACTCATCCACTTGAATGAGGTATAGGTAATACTGAAATGGTGATTAGATTCTAATCAATGATGTACATCATTCATAATGTACAGAAAATGTGTAGTGCTCAAAAAACCCCCCAAAAGACCAGAAATTTGAACAGTGGGGAACACTGGGGAGCATAGAGATTTACCTCTCATCCACACTGGTAGCATGTAAACATGCTGTCAGATGCAGCTTTAACCCAAATTCCAGAGTTCTGTGGGGCAGAATGGCCCAGAAATCTTCAGCCACCATCCCTCATAGCCATTGATCTTAGGATCTGCTCACAGAGGACACGCAAGGAATGAATTACAGCATAGTCCCTCAGGAAATATGCCAAGCTCAACTCTTACTAAACAGCACTACAGCCTGTTACAGTTCAACAGGAAAGAAAAGAGTTTGGGGGTTGCGGTTCTCTGCAGTCATGTTGTTACCGTGCACTCGAGTATAAACATCGCTGTTAGAACGCCTAGATGTTCTCTGAAGTGTTAAAATTAAGTCCTCCTGTGACTAATCTTATAAATTATAACAAAGAGACTGCATATCAACTCATTTTGTTTCCTGCCTGAAGAAGATAGGCAACTTAACCTTAGATTTCAAAAGTTTATAGCTAAGCCAGTACTGTAATACATTTCCTCCAGTCAGCGTTGTTGTGATTTAGATGAGAAGCAGCAAGAAAGATTTGAGCTGTCACACTTGACTTTGAGCTGCCAAGAAGAGGTATTGGAGATTACAGGCTAAGGTTTAATTTATATTCCTCCCTTTGTTACAGGCAGAGATGGTACGTGCTGCTTTCCAAGCGCAGAGGTCTTTCCTGGTGTTAGCATCTCAATGTCAAGAGCCTCAAGAGGTAAGAAAAGTGACCTAGCTTTTCAAGAGGCAATGTAAAAAGGCTGTGTTCCTGTATGTTTATTATCAATCCCTGCATTTGCTTTTATTTGTTACTTTAAATATACAGTGCACTTAGAGGCTTGCTTTCAGTGTTATTAGTATGGCACTGTAATAATCTGAAAGGCACGGTTCAGCGGTAAGAACCTTTTCTGTATCGATACATATAAGATCATGACCTAGCATTTCAAGAGGCAGTGTATTAAAAAGGCTGTGTTCCTGTATGTTTAATATCAATCCCTGCATTTGCTTTTATTTGTTACTTTAAATATACAGTGCACTTAGAGGCTTGCTTTCAGTGTTATTAGTATGGCACTGTAATAATCTGAAAGGCACGGTTCAGAGTTAAGAACCTTTTCTGTATCGATACATATAAGATCACTGAAGAAACCAAAGGAGATTTCCACTTTACGGCTGTGAGTGGAATCACTGTTTCTCTGGAAAGCTGGAAATGCCATGGAATAGAATGGCTTTTTGCTAGCCCCACAGGGATGCTCTGTGACAGACTTTGAAGTCAGGGGATAAGTTATTGAGCAAAAAATCAATGTTAGTCCCTAGATTCAGTATTCTCCAAGCTGAAGTACAGGTTAGGCCAATTCTGGGAGGAAGGCAAAGCATTTTGTCAAGAAAATGACAAAAACAATTTATATCACGTTGATTTATATACTTATTTTAGTGGCAACTATTTAAATCCTCCCCTCACAACTAGAAAGCTTGGGGAAGCTGTGGAGTTCTTATGAAGTCTTATCTGTAGTTTCTGGAGGGCACAAGGTTTTGGCTAATAGCACTGTATCGTTCCTGGGAATAGCCATCATGGAGCCCTTCTGTGGGACCACCCTTGAACCTTCCTTCTTGGAGTGTGCAGAGAATGAAGACTTCACTTGCAGAGTCTCCACGGCCTTCGGTTCTGTCTTTTTCCACTAGCTCTCTGCTCCATAGTTCATTAAACTCCATATTTTCAAATCAGAACTCTCTGCTACTGGTATAAATTATTGAAATTTTGCTGTCACTATTGTTCTTAGAGACACAAATTAAAAGTTTTTCTAGTCAGTATGTTTTAATGGCAAGGGTACTCAAGGAAAAAAAAAAAAAAAACCCACAGATATTCCAGGCGAGAATTTAGATTTATAGAGTTCCAAGCTAGAAGGGATCAGTTGTTTTTCCAGCTGTCCCTGATCTCAGAGAGTAAAAGTGGGTCATGACTCATAGTGAGCAGGCAAAATTCCCATTGGTACAGGCCTCAAGCAGTCATTTATACTGGCTGTGAATACAATTGCACCCAGTGACCCACAAAACTCTTGATGCTCATAGGTAAAATATTCCCCGATGAATAGTTTCCGATGGCCCATAATGTAATGCACTGTTCTGAAGTGTTGGTATTGTCCCAGCTCTGGTAAGAGTAAAAGCTGTGGCTCACTGTTTGGCCTCCTGTGCTGATGTGCTAGCGGTATGATTTTCTCTGCTTTTCAGGTGAGAATGGCAATGGCTTCTCACTTTTACCCTTCCAACTCTCTGACCTCAAGTCCAGGCTTTGAGATTTTTTTTCAACTGTAAAGCTTAGAAACTTTCATTTAAAAAATAGTAACAAAGCAAGCAAAAAACCCCAAAAACAACAAAAAAACCCCAACCCAGATGTAAAAGGAGATTCTCCAGCAATCCAGAATGACAGTTACAGAAGTATTAAGAAAAGCAACAAATAATAAAACCTTGCTGTAAACATCACCAGAGCTGGCCATGTGTATCCATATGTCTTAGTTGCATGTTATCAGGCTTGCATAGATTTCTGCAACTTGTTGAAGGCAAGAAAGTATACTTTTATCATTTAACTATCTTTTAGCACCAAGGAAATGCTGCACGATATGTGTGTACACATCATTCTAAAGTTAAAATACCAGGAATATTACAGACTAAAGTTCCTTTCTCAGTGAGAACAAAGCCAGTCCAGTTACTTAAGTTTTTTTAACATAATGACTGTTAAATACACATTTGTATAGGCATCCATATTGTTGTTCATTCTTTTTCTCTTTTTTGCACATATGTTTTGCACAGATTCAACTGTACTGTTGACTACCTGAAAAGAATTTAAGGCTGCCTATTCTGTTGCAACGTGAACAGTATTTTCCACTGCAGAGAGTGACAGTTCCAGGCAGTAGGCTTTTTGTATCTCCATCTCAATGGGGAAAAAAATGCTATTGTACAGCCACATTGGTTAACCATTTTGAAAAAGCTGGTTATCAGCAGCTAACCCAGGAGAAGGAAAGAAGCAGGGGTCCTGTCCCCCACCCCCCAGCACCTTACTGATGTGATGTCATCTGGGCTCTGGTTGTATTTATAGCCTAGAGCCATGGAGTCAGTGTGGAATCCAAACAGGAAAGCTAATCGTTAGTGTATCAGAATGCAGAGAGTAGAGAAAAGCAAATGAAGATGACAGCATATCTATAAATGCAAGAGAAAAGAGAGTAATTCTGTCATTCAGCTGTCTAGACTGTTTGCTTTATAATGTAAAGCTGTGAATGAGCCAGCGAGTTGCGATTATGGCATAGTAGCTTTGTAGACATTCAGAGACAGCGGTGTGGAGACTGAGGGGATTTACTGAGTTCCTGTCATGTTGGGATGTCATACATGGTGCCTTTAAAAAAAAAAAGAGGGAGGGGAAAATGCCCTGGAAAAATAAATTAGCTCAGCTCTTGCAGCTTACAAACTAATGAATAAGGAATTAAAACAAAAAGAAAGCTCCTACATGTATAATAATCCTTGGATTTTTTTGTGCTCAGCAAAGAGAGAAATGTATATTGTACAAAAAGCAGTATTTTTCCCCTCTATGAAAATGTTGAAGCCCTAGTATTCATTTAGCTCTTTAACTCCTGCTATGAGTCACTAGCAAACATTTTCAAACAGTTAAGCTTGCAGAAGTTGCTTTTGCAGAGTTTTGCTTCTTGTTAATAATATTGATGTTTTTTTCATTTGGAATCTGTTGCAGTGCACAGCCTTTATTATCTGTATATGTGAAAATAGTAGGAGCCAAGAAGGTAATTCCAGCTGGCATACCAATCTAGCATCAACTGCAATAAATTACTTCGCAGAGAGCATGTTCTGTTACTTTTTATGGTCATGTTCTATATTTGTATGTGCAGTGGAAGAGATCACATGGCAAAACCACTAGTTGATATTCCTGTTTGTGTATGTCCCAGCTAATGACTGCTGGATACAGGCTCATTCAGCAAGATGGGATTCTTCAGCTCATCCACTTACTAGAAATTATTTTCTGACGCCAAACTTCAAACATTAAAGCAAAAAAAGTCTATTTTAAATTGTTTACTATATATGAGGTAGTAAAGAGAAGATGGAGAAGGGAAAATAAATCAGAATATTGCTATATTCTGTGAGAAGTTGTTTAAGAAGCTATTTACCATACTTTACATGTTGCTTCGGCAATTCAGAAGACACATTTTAACATAAACCTTCACAAAACATTATGAAATAGTTTGGATCTGAATTTTCTATTTCCCGTAGTTTAAGCCAAATACAATTCTGATTGAAACATTATTATTTTATTGTATAATAGTTTTAAAAGTTGTTAGTGTTCCTGAGCAAGTTTATCTGTTTAACAGGTTTTTTAAATTTATGATCATGAATACTAACGTATGAGATCACTGCTCAAAGTCACTGCACTGAATTCTTTGTGAATGGTAACTTATATACTGTCTTCTCTTTAGGAGTTGTTTCATTTCACTTTAAGAGTTCAAACAATTTTAAGAGTGGCTTTGAGGGCATGAATAATCCATTGTTCCCATACTGGGAACTAGTTAATGAGATGAGTTTTTCTGTGAATCAATATAAACATGTGCAGGATGAGCAGAGTCACGGTAAGAAGTACTACAGATTTAAATGGCAGATGCAGTCCAGACTAGAAATGATGATGGTATTTCTCATTTAAAAAAATGCTGAGTTCATATGACTGCCAGAGCTCATGGATTTAATTACTAACATTGTGCAGACAAACATTCCAATTAAGTACCTAGCTTAAATATCCAGATTCTACACACAGGTGGGAGGAGAGGGGTGGAAGAAAGTGAGAAGGAGGGCTTTTCCTTTTTTTCCTAGAGAAGGGGAAAAAAACCCTGGAACCCAAGAAACTGTATTTGAAGTTTGACTTAGAGCCATGAGAACAAATCCTGAAGTTTTTAATTTTCTACAGTCAAGCAAAAAATCTGTTGTAGGAACAGAATAGTTGTGGCATTTTCTTTGAATAAAGGACTCATTCTCAGAATTTTAATGTAGAAATCAAAGATGGAGATTTACAGTTCCCTACTCTCCATCAGTGCAGGATTGCTCATTCTTTTCTTTCTTCTATTTTTAAAGTACTTCAATAACAGGACTCCTGGGACTTCTTATTCTGTGTCCTAACAGGATTTGTTTTCCAATTACCTTGACTTGCTTATGTCATTACATTTCCCACAACTTTTCCTCATACTTACTGGGATCACCCTAACTGTTTTCCAAAAATATGAAGAGCAGGATACTCCTCACCTTGTTAATTTATTACTTACTTATGCAGAAGACTTTGAGCCAAGTTTTGCTGCCATTCTACTCAGTTGCTTGACTGCTGCAAACCTGCACCTCTGTATCTAGAAACAGCTTAAGGAAGAATTTTGTTCAGTCCTTTTAAGGTCCTCAGGTCCCAAACTTACAGAAGGTGCCAAGAGTGACATGGACAGAGCCTGAGAGTCCTGAGATCCAAAGGGAACCCCTTCCCCCCCTCCTGTTCGCTGCTTGCCAAACTGTTGACATATTTCTGTTATCAGCAAGTCTACAACTGCATGCGACATGTGGTCAAAACCGCAGTGATGGACCAACTGACAGTTTTCAGTGTCTAGCCTGCTGCCTTACAGTGTTCACAGGCTCATTTTTGGATATTCAGGTCCACTTTAATTCTTGATTATTGCTTCATTATAACATATT